CCACAAGTGTGATTTTTTTTCTTTTTTTTGTACAAAGTAAAAGCTTTTCAAAACAAATTTCTTGGTTAAACATTAGAACACAGTAGTGTGATAAACAGTGCAATTTTTTTCATATTTTATTTAATATTAACAAAATTATCCACAAATAATGTTTATTTTTTCACTTAAAAACTGAGGTACGTACACTCAGATTAATAAAACATAATTTGTTACGTTTTGAATATGGATATTTTTCTTACAAAAACGCATCGATTCGCTACAGAAGGCCTTTGTTCACCCCCGGGAGCCGTGTGAGACACTTTTTTTTTTATGGATGGGCGCATTTTAATTAAGTGCTTTTGGACTGATGCATGCAACACCCGCTGAGTGGCATTAAACAGCTTGAACGATCAAAGACTATTTTTAATATAACTCTGACTGGATTCGTCTGAAAGAAGAAAGTCATATACACCTAGGATGACTTGAGGGTGAGTAATTTATGGGCTAATTTTCATTTTTGGGTGAACTAACCCTTTATTAATTAAAATGTTTTAATTCACACCTAATTTAAACCTGCCCTACCCACTGATTCCCCAGCAGCACCGCTGATGACAGTTTTATCAAACTCTCACGGTTCACCTGTCGGGTCCCTGCCCACATGCAGGAATCTGCTTCATTTCCATCATTTGCATGAAAAAAACATCAAAACGCAACTGTGATCTGATTACAGGCACTTTTAATTACAAGTATAATAACTTTGTGTGTGTGTGTGAATTTGTAAATGTGACATATTGCATGGCTAAACAAGGGTTTAGAGAAAAACATCCTGGAGATGACATAAAAAAAAAATGAAAAGCCTCCCTTTTTTTTAACTGCGCAGTGTTAAAACATTTTTACAAGAATGCTCAGTGTCAAACATGATGAGGTAATGATAAGTTGCATGGTACAGTTTGACAGGTTTGCCACTGTATAATGCAGTTTCACTTAATAAGTTCAGTTTTAGGCAGTCTTTCCAAGCATAGCCACTATATATATATATATACTGGTTTTGAATACACTTTTCATTCAACAAAATATGCAAATAGTAAGAAAGCAGGAAAATGTATTAAAATGAAATGAGATCTCACCTCTCCTTTCTGTCCGACGGGACCATAAGGACCCTGAAGTAAGAGGAAACAGAGTCTGTGTCAGAAATCGGAGGACTATCAGACACTGAGCTGCATGTGGCAAGTGAACAGCGTTACGTACCGGCTCCCCGTTCTCCCCTGGTAAACCATCACTTCCAGCAACTCCCTAAACACAGAACGGCAACATATGAAAACATGCATATATAATTGATCGTCATATGCTTTCTCTCTTCATACAGCAAATATGCCTCTTACCATGTCTCCTTTAGGCCCTCCAGCTCCAACTGGACCCTGAGAGAGAGAGAGAGACAGAGAGAGAGAGAGACACAGAGAGAGAGAGAGAGACAGAGAGAGAGAGAGACACAGAGAGAGAGAGAGAGACAGAGAGATGTGTGTTATGTGTGTGTGTTTGAGTGAAGGAGGCCAGAGAACACAGATAGGCTTTGTTCTGTGGCAGGAGCGCTGGACAGTGAAGTCTCCAGGACCTCTAGATGTCTACTGAAATATGAGCTATGCTCTTTACTGTCTCTGTGATTAAACCAAACTGAATATGTTTGTCTCTGTATGCATCTGTGTATGTCTGTCTTTGTTGTTAGAAAAGGAAAGTTCACAAAGAGCTTTGATGTTTATAATAGAGATTTTCAAACAGTTTAACTCTGAAAGACAGACAGATGTTTTGATACGCGTCACTCACCCGCTCACCGAAGCCGCCTCTGATTCCAGTCGGACCAGGCAGACCTGGGTCTCCTAAAGCCCCTTTAACACCCTGCACAGAAACACAACCTGTCGTTCTTCACATTCATAAACCACGGATCAGATGACAGAGGTTTGTCTCTCTGCTGCTCCCATGCGCAGATAATACATTACATTTACTGTCGCCAAACCCTATCCTATGCCTTCAGAAGACGAGGAATATGAGGTGTGTTTCGACGATTAGAGTTTTTCTGTTGTGGCACTTGACGTGATCCCATAATGCAGCTCACCTGGAATCCTTTAACACCTTGTGGTCCAGGGTTTCCAGGTAGTCCAACGCCGCCCTGTTAAACAAGCACAAACAGCTCATGACATCCCTTCTGCTTGAGAAAGCCTGATGAACATGAAGAGCAGGATCAGCCGATGGACCTCCTTTACAGACGAGCACGTCACCATCTGTGCTGTTTTATGTTACGAGTCTGAATTCAAACTATTCATTCAGAAAGAGGAGAATGGGGATTTTCACTTGTGACAAGGTATATGACTAGCTCAGGCTGTTTTAATCAGCGCCTGGTGTTGGTTTGGTAGTACTCACAGCCACACCTCTGGGTCCAGCCTCTCCTCTCTCTCCCGGGACGCCGATCTCCCCCTGCGGGAGCAGTCACACACATCAGTGCATCACAGCATGTAGCAGTAGCCTGACCTGTGCATGTCGTGTAGTCACAGGGCAGAAACACTGGCTGCGAATCTGAAATCTTACTGCATGCATTAGTTCGTATCAGGTCACGAGTCAGATACATACAGGTATACCTGGCTCTCCAGACGGCCCTGCTTCTCCCATCTCTCCTGGACCACCCTGAACGGAGAAGGATTGTTGCATTATGCACCACAGCAGACGCTCTTGCAGTCTGATTCACAAACACCGGACCAATGAGCAATTAGCTGTCATGCTTAGCTGAAAGTAGAGCAGATGCTGACAGACGCCTCTCTCCAGAGGTGCTTATCATTCCTAAACGGTCCATCCTCGAGGACGGAGGAAGCTTAGCAACTAGGAAACACTGAAGCACCACGCATTCCCCTGCACATGTGTTTTACTTTGGGGTTACACCACAAACTTCCACAGTGCATCTTATTTTTTAACATTTATTTTAAATGTTTTCATTAACCAAACTTCAATGTAACTGATTGCACAGTGAGTGATCAGTAATACTGCTTTTTCAAATACGTCTCTCGTCAGTTCTTCCACCCTTGTGTCCTTTGAGGAGCTAGAACGCAAGGAGCGGAAACGAGGACATGCTAATAAGGAATGGAGAAGGTCTCTCAGAGCTCTGCTGTGAGTAAAGTGAAGACTGGCCAAGTGCTGCAGTAAACATCAAACAAGGCTTTGCACTGGATGCACACGTTTAGATGAAATATGCTACTCTTATGAATGATTGTTGCTTTTTACCGGTTATCCTCAAAGAGTTTTTTTTCCAGTGTAATGGGCCAGTTTAATTCACATAAAAAACACATTTTTAACTTAAAAGAGAGCAGTGGAATGAAAAAATAAATAACTTGCTTCTTTTAACTCGAGCACTTTGTGTTTAGAACAGAGGGGCACACATTCATCTAGAGCAGGTTTACATAGAGAAACAATGTAAAAATACATTCTGAGTTTATACAATCTCACTGAGGATGCCTAATCTAAAAAAAAAGTGCAAAAACAAATTTTATTTTTTTTCTGAAAAATAAAAATTATTATGGAATTATGATGACAATTGTCTCTCTTATCATATATTGCAGAAATGTCTCTCTTATCTAAATCTATTTCACTTGTAATGCAGCTAAACATGGCTTAGCTCTCATGGAAGTTGCAGAGTGATATACTTACAACTCCTCCTTTGGCACCTTTTGCACCAGCTTTTCCCGGCAAACCCTGAATTACACACAGATAGATGTCCACTTGATGTGAGTTGAACAATGATACAAATTCAAAACCCAGCAAACAAAGCTACTCAAAAGCAATAAAGCACTCAAAATTGATTATTAAACAGAAAAACCACATGATCTCCTAAATGAAATCTTTGCAGATTAAAAAACAAGCACACAATCTCACAATTTCATTTCACTGCCAATGCATTAATAAAAGTCTGAGCATATCACACCAGTCCTCAGGTCCTTACACTGGCTTCCAGTTATATTTAGGATTGATTTTAAAGTACTTTTACTCGTTTATAAATCACTCAATGGCCTAGGACCTAAATACATAGCAGATATGTTCACTGAATATAAACCTAACAGACCACTCAGATCATTAGGATCGAGTCAGTTAGAAATACCAAGGGTTCACACAAAACAAGGGGAATCTGCTTTTAGTTATTATGCCGCCCGCAGTTGGAATCAGCTTCCAGAAGAGATCAGATGTGCTAAAACATTAGTCACATTTAAATGCAGACTCAAAACTCATCTGTTTAGCTGTGCATTTACTGAATGAGCACTGTGCAATGTCCGAACTGATTGCACTATATTTTATGTATAATTATTTTCTATTCTTAACTGTTTTAAATTCATTTTAAACCAATTTTAGATCATTTTTAAACGTTTTTAATTTCCTTGTTTTATAATTTTTTATGATTATTTTAATTCCTTTTATGTAAAGTACTACCATTGTGTATGAAATGTGCTGTAGAAATAAACTTGCCTTGCCTCACAATATTTCATTTTTTCTTTGCCATATTAATGTTTAGTCTGTGTGCTCATCATCTGAACAGTGTAATTAACGGTAATACGTACAGGCAGGCCGTTAGGTCCTTTCTCACCAGGTACTCCAGGTCTGCCAGCATCTCCCTGTCAACACAAGCACACAGCATCAGCATCACGAGAAACACGGCCCAGACGCGTCTCTAAACGAGCCGCTGATTACCTTTTCACCGTCCAGCCCTTGAGTGCCATCCTTCCCGTCCCTGCCCGGGATGCCCTGCGGTTCCACACACAGCATTATCACGAGCTAATCTAACACACGGCATTATCACGGGCTAATCTAACACACGGCATTATCACGGGCTAATCTAACACACGGCATTATCACGGGCTAATCTAACACACGGCATTATCACGGGCTAATCTAACACACGGCATTATCACGGGCTAATCTAACACACGGCATTATCACGGGCTAATCTAACGCTCCTAACAAGAGTCAGAAATCACACAGTTCCTCACTGGCTCTCCTTTAGGTCCTGCACCTCCAGGGACTCCCTTGGGGCCTATTTTCCCCTATTCAGAGGATGAATATCACAATCACTCTGATGCTACAGAGATAAAGGCTTACTCTGAAATAAGTATGAAGGGCCTAGAAGAAACTATATCTAGCGAGTAATGTGCTTACTATCTCTCCTTTTGGCCCTTTGAAACCTTGCGGTCCTTTCTCACCAGCATCACCCTATTCAGAAGACACACGCAGCAAACTGTTTATGATTTTATTATTTATTAACAGAAACACACACATTAAAGAAAAAGCCATTTAAAGCTTTAAAAGAGTGACGAAACACTCACAGTTTTTCCAATGATGCCAGCAATGCCAGGTTTTCCTCTGAAGCCCGGCAATCCCTGCACAGAGAAGCAGAAGCACCGCTGTTCTTTTGATCTATATTTCAGTAAGATGTGTGATGTTACTGAGGTCTTACTCTGTCTCCTACTGCTCCCACCGGCCCCTGCAGTCCTCTCAGCCCTCGAGAGCCCTTTAACACACCATTACACACAAAACATCAATGGAAGAAGAGACAAGCTACTGAAATCTGGACGCACAATGTGTTATACACTTTATGTTTGAATAGAATATGTCACTGTTTATTTTGACCAGTTCTATTCTGTTCTGTTCTTCTGAACACTGGGGTCCTTTATCATTTAATAAAAGAAATGAACGAGAAGTTGATTCTACCAAAGTAGCGGGTGTAAAGAGAGCTGACTAGAGGATCACCCGAGGATCTACACAGTAGCTAAACATTAATGTTCAGTCTCTCACAACTGTTTTACGACAGAATCGTTACAGGCAGTAATATCTGATGATGCAACATATTTTTGCCATCTTGAATCAACAACAGCCTATATCATGTACATAATCCATATAACGTAATTCATAAAACAGAGCCGGTGTTGACATATTAGTAGTATAAGAGTGTGTGCATCTTATAAAATGAAAATGTTATTTGCAAAAAATGCATTACTTAACATTAAAACCTATTTCTTTTGCTACTGTTTTTCTTTGAATCCCTAACTAAACAGGAATTAGAGAGATATTGGTGAACTGAGGTCAGTTGCACCTGTAAGCCCACTGTCCCCGGGGTTCCCGGCGGCCCCGGCGGCCCCTGATCCCCCTGATGGGAAGAGACAGACACACAAACACATTACCAACAAGCTTCCGCTTCATTCAGAGCAGTGTTTCCGCATGTCGCACGCCCATCTCACATTCTCTCCGTCTTTCCCCAGCTCTCCCTTACTCCCTTTATGACCCGTGTGACCCTACACCAAAACACAGAGGCAGAACAACAGTTCGTCATAGAAACGCTTTATACAACACAGATAGTGTGAGAGCAGCTTGAGAGAGATCAGGCATCAGCAGAGACAGTGATGGAAAGCTGCTCTATGTCGTGTTGTTGAGATCAAGTACCTTGAATCCTGGCATTCCCGGCGGTCCAGGAGGACCTGGAGGACAGATGGCCGGACACTGCAAACAACACAATCATGCAATCAATCTGCATGCAAAGAACAACAAGCCACGTCAGGGTCTGAGCAGACGTACACACTTTTTCTTGTCGGAGTACTGCAGGTTTCTGGAAATGTAAGCTGTTCTTGCAGCTCGCTGTTATAAATTAAAGCATTTGGACGATGACTGGTGATCTTTTATGTTAATGACATTAATTAGGAGTCGTTTACAAGCAGAGAGCTGAAACCATTCATTTGCTCGCAAGTTCAAGATCATTCGCGATTCATAGATTTCACATCTGAAAGAGACTGAACGTGTGTTTTCTGTGCGTATGTTCAGTCTATGAATCACACCTACCCATATTTGAGATGATCATAAGATCAAATTTACGATGGTTTCTGCGCAACATTTTATAAAGTACACTAAAATCCAGTAGTTTACCTTACTTAGATATAAGTAGTTATCTTTACTTAGTTGTTATACTAGGTTTTATTAAGTTACAGCTACTTTCAAGGCATATAAATCAGTTTACTGTTTTGAGTGACACTTATTTAAAATATTCAAGTAGCCACAAAGGAACCAATGATATTAATAAAGCAGTGAGAGGCAGCAGTGCACTAATATGTTGCTAATGTGCAACATAACAACAGAAGAAGAAGAAAAGAAAAAGAGTCTTAATAGACTTTTCACTCATTTCCTCCATGTCTGCAGTTATCTTTCACTAGTTGCATTCACTCGTTTCCCAAAGTCATCTTGAATGTTGAATTCTCAATACAACTGAAATATTTGAGAGAACATCACATAAGATAACTTCATAAATTGATGTAGATTTTCCTAAAATGTTTTTTTTTTTACTCACCATTATAGTGATTAGTGTTCCCTTTGGTTGGGCACTTGGAACTATGTTTATATTATTATAATAATCTTTCTATTAATGTAGCAATGCACGATGAAATCAGAGTTTTTTGATTTCAAGGGAAGAAAAGTAATAAGTAGGTTGCTTTTAGGTGGTGACCTATCTTCTAATTAAAGCATCAGCTAGTGTATCTTTCATGTTTATTAATGATCTTTTACGATTTTGTTGTTTTTCATTGACACCTTGAGAAGCTTTTAATTGGGTTAATATAATCCATTAATGTTTGTGGTACTAAAAAATATAAACCTTGACAAAAAGTAGTCTTTGAGAATGCCTTAATATACATTTAAATCCACCACCTAATAAAAGTAAACAATGTATAAAAACAACTAGGGAATTCAAAAGCCTCTCTATAGATTCCTATACAGGCATGGAATTACATGTTTTTCTTTCTTTGCTCTCACCAGGTGCTAATCTGCCTTAAAAAAAAAAGGATTTAAAGGCCTAGTCTCTATTTGAATCAGAGATACTGCATTGACTGAAAAATTATTTTACAAAATTAGAGAAAATGTTTTTGTACTATTTTCAATGGGAAACATTAATAATAATTATTGCATAAATATTAATTATTACCATAAAATTCTCTCAAAATACAAAATAAAAAAGAAAAAATATTATTGAACAAAAATATATTAGATTGATTTTACTGAAGAAAAAAAAAGTTACATTTCAGGTGTCTGGTCACTTTTGACCGCGAAGACCATGAGTGCGACTCCCAAATGAGGAGCGCACATAGTATTCATGCTTGACGCATCACAGTAAACATCAAGATTGTTCAAAGCTGTCTTTATTTATAGTATGTAAACTAAATTAAACACTGACTAACCATTTTTTAAATCTTAATCTTAGTTTATCTTAATTGAAAATTCAACTTTAACATTACATCCTATTTAGCTCTTGTTTAAGTGAAATCAGACTGTAAAAAGTTGACCTACATATATTGATCTACAGTCGGTTATGTATGTCTAAAACATATATATTAAGCATGGTACACTGATCGATCATATTTGTGGTCTACAAAACGAAATTGTGTTTCTCTTCTGAACTTGATTTCTTTGCTCTTAATAATGCAACGTGCAGCCTAGTAGTGTGAATGTGAATTAAACCAGTGCTTGAAAATGCTTCGCATCTGACTTAACATTCTGAAATGAAGTATTATTATTATTATTATTTGAAAAGACTTGGTGGTGTTTAATGTTCAGTTCTGAGGGGAGTTGAACAGTTTCTGCGCTGAAGATGGGGATGAGGACGGCTACAGAAAATCTGTGAGCTGCTTTACTTAAGGAGCAGACTTAGCATTTATGTGTGAAACGTTTGTTGACTAGCAGTACTATCTTATAATTCAGTGATGTGACAAACTGAATGAATTAAAACCTGTCAAGTGAACCATTTGGTCAATTCAGAATAACTTAATTCAGTGAATCGATGTAGATGATTGAATAATGTAAAGCCAACACAATTCTTTATTCAGTGATGGATTTGATAATAAATAATCTTTTTATGTTGTATGAATGTCTTTTGCCTTTGAGATTAATATTAAATTAGTTTGTACAAAGTATATTTTTTCAGTACGTTACAATAGTTTTCATGTCAAAGTGGTAGAGCATCTTAACGTACCAGCAGATCTCCACCGCCTTCAGGAAGAGTTCCTGGGAGTCCCTAAAAAAGAGGAAGAAGTATAGATGTAATTGAACTATTTGAATAAAAGAAATGTGTTTTTGCCCTCTGAGTGCAGGTACTTACAGGAGGTCCGTCTGGGCCTGAAGTACCAGGGAGTCCTGGAAGACCCTCGGGCCCCTGCGACACAAACCCAAGTCACTCTGCAGCTGTGCTGTTCCATTAGTACACAGCTAAAGCTGCTATTCATAACATCTTACAGAACGCTTGTCATTCAACCCGCAAATACACATCCAACCACATCTGATCTTGCTGATTTGAATCTATGTGTGCTTTTATTCTCAGTGGATTGCTTCAAATTTCAGAGAATTCACAATCAAACGCCAGTTTGCAGCTCGTCTGACATGCTTCATCTGCTTGTCTCTGTGCTCTCTGCACGTCCAAAATGCTGTTCTTCATTTGTGCACTCTAGTGGATCAGGAGCACATGACCTGCAACGTAAAGGTCTGCGCTGTTTTTGCCGGCAGAGTGAGTAAAAAGCCTCTGATCAGTCACTCACCGGCGGACCCTTAGGTCCTGCTCCACCTGGAAGTCCATTAGCTCCAGCAAGACCCTGAGATCAGAAAACACACAGAAATGCAAATGCTTGACACTGGCTGCACACTTTCTTTTGTTGAGTGTCCTCACAAATCACCATAAGCCCACCAAGAGCCAGAGCTAATGAAGCTTGAACTAATGACCGTTACTCAGATCATTCTTCCTCTAGCTGTGGTTTTGGACGGGTTTTACTCACCAGCGCTCCTGGTCTGCCTCTGCCCTGAGGATGACAAGAGAAGACAGCTTAAGACAAGTCACTGACTGATATTACATCACGATACTGCACTCCTGCTGTACAAATGTTTTGTGAATGTAGGTAATGACGGTGGTCTGATGAATGAGAAAAACGCTTGAACCGGAGAGCATCTTATTGTGCTGTGCTGTAGCAAGCATGCTGAAACGTCATACGACTGTGTTTACTGATGCTTGGCACCTACAGGGGGTCCGTCCGGGCCGGGAGGTCCTGGGTCACCCTACAACACACACACACACACAATAATGTTCAAAATAAACCTCTGAGCTGGCAGGCTGAGAAAGCAGCAGCACTGTATCATGCTGAAGCATGCAGAGCCTGTGTTGTGAACAGCAGACACTGCTTGTACTCTTCCTTTTTGAGGTCAATTATTCATTAGCTTTATAATAATATAATATAATAGAAATAAACAGAAAAAATTAAAATGATAGAATAGAACAGTATAGAATAGAATAGAAAAGAAAACAAACTGAAGCGTTTAAAATGAGAAATGTAAGCCACATATTTTCAAAAAACGTAAGCATGTGAATGCTTACAGTTCTCTGAACATCCCTGAGTCTGCACACTGCTACACTTGTGTGTGACTGAGTTTTGTTACTGTTCTGTGCACATCATCCACTATTTCAAGCACGTAATCAAGCCACTCCTCTTTAAAACATTTTTTATTTCACACAAGTCCCTTTCAAGGAAAGTCCGTTTACTCGGCCGCCAACAACGCCTCTGGACAGCTCAAACAAGACCAAGTCCTATCTAAATGAATGGGGGAATCCTGAAATCTCACAAACTGCTCGCTGAACTCGCGATTAAAGGGTACATATTTCAAATCAGCAACAAAATCTGAAATGAACTGCAAAAATAGCGTTTAAAAAGCTTATTTTTATGACTGTGCATTGGCTGGTCTAGCCTCAGGTTTCTATGGGAACCGGAGCTTCTAACGGCTGCTGCAGTGATGCAGTGACTACCAATCAGCGATTGGCTCTTTCCTTTAGAAGGCGGGACTATTCTGTGATGTTGCGTGCTGCAGTTTCTCCCATTCATAAGTACAGGAGTGAACCGTGTTTGTATTTCTATAGTCTTTGTTTCACACGCCATTGCGTTGGCTCTCGTGTTGAGCTATTTCGTTCACAAGCATTAAAGTATTTGATTTCTACAGCGACTGATTTGGCGCACATCATTCTCTTTCTATAACTCTGATAGCACACGTACATCTCAGAGACGTCTGCATTTACATCTGCAAGACGTCTATAGGACGTTTCCTATCAGATGTGTAATAGACGTCTATTAGATGTCTTTAAGATGTTTATGATTTAGAATGAATGTAAAACTGACATCTGAAAGACGTCTGTACACAGCAGATGCTTTCCAGATCAAGAGATCTTTAATAGACATCTTGCAGACGTACATGTGCTATCTAACACCAACTCTATAGCGGTTTGACCGAGCATTGCAATTATTTTGTTTTCCCAACTCATTTTTGCGTTTGCATGGCATATTATTTCTTCAGCGCGGTCACGAGCACTACCAACAGTGCTACTAAAAATACTTGACTTTGTTACACAGCCACATGGGTTGGTTCAAGCCTTAAATTCTGATTTTAATTTAATCAAAATAATTATTTTCCTAAAGACAAAAACATACAAAGTAAAAGATTTTTTACACATAGGTAATTGGTTCATGTAAATGTCGGCTCATTGACTTAAGTAAGTTATTCTGAAGTGACCAAATGAAGTGTCTCAATGTGATTTTCTGTGGTTTCATGACAGGAATTAATTCACTCAGTTTCATACATATTTTTTGTTACAGCACTTAATTATAAGTCCTAATAACAAATTGAACAATCGCACATAATTATTATACTAAATTGTGACGCTGCACCCAAAATCGACTTCTTTACTAAATATAGTACTTTCTTACTATATACACAGGGCTGGGAAGGTTACTTTTAAAATATGTTTCACTGCAGAATGTGCAGAATACAAAAAAACACACTTTAAAAAGTAATTTGTTATGTATTTTTAGATTACTAAAATTTAATCTAAACACTTTTGAATGCTTTTTAATACTAATAAGGTATGTAACAAAGGGTCCTCTGGAAAAAAATGACATTTACAAAATGTAGGACATTGGTTCTCCTCTGCATATTATTTTTTAACAAAATCAGTTTTTCACAGTATTTCTTAAAAGGGAAACAAAATAAGAAAAGTTCACACATCATCCTGTTCAAAAGCTCTTAAAGCACTGTTTCCTTCTTGAGCATCAGCGAATGTTTCCATCTTCTGTAATAGTTGTATGTGAGTCCCTCAGCTGCCCTCAGTGTGAAAAGATGCATCTCAAAATCATACAGTCATTGTTGGACAGCAGAAGATGCTGGAAAACCTGAGAAAGTGAGGATCTGGAGGATTTTTCTGAAGAACAGCGATGCTCAGGACTAACAAGAGACTCATGAACAACCATCACAAAACATGACAACAGTCCTACAGTTTCTATAAATTCAGTTATTTTGTCTTGTGGAGTACAGTATCTAAACATCTGTTGTGTGAAATCGCTTATTTAGGACAGTACTAAAATGCAGTTTTTATGATTAAAAAAATTACAATTTTGCATTTTCTGCAAGGGTATGAAAAAAAACATATCTTAGGATGCTTTTGCAGACCGTCAGATTCAGAGAATCACCAATTGCTGTTTCCACTAATTGCCCGATACAGTTTACATTAATGTTTAAATTACATAAATGACATTAAAATTCAAAGAGTCACTTTGGTCATCTAAAATACTTTTTGGATGTAACTGTAATTTGACTACCACCCATTTAAAATGTAACTGAGTTTTATTTTCAACTCATATTTTATGTTTCAAATACATAACTAAGTTACACATGTTCCATTACTCCCCAACCCTGATAGTATGCTTAAAGACTAGCATGTCCACATTCATAGTGTTCAAAAAACAGAAAAAACCAGCACATGCTGATTAGGTAAGTTTTGAAGCATGGTAGCTGGTTTGAGCTGGTTTGAGCTACTAGCTCCTGCTCAGGACCAGCTCAAACCACCATGCTTCAAAACATACCTAATCAGCATGTGCTGGGATGGCGAAAAGTACCCAGATGACCTACTTCTGCCTGGATTCTGAAGTACACACTACACTGATGGACACTTTACTATCCCATGAGGCCACAGCAGTGAAGCCACACAACTGACGCTGCTAGTAGGTCATGTGACCATGACAACATGGCGGCTGTAGTACGTCCGAATTTCATTCATACACAGAACATGCTTCTTTAACGGTTGTGAATTAAGCACAAACTCAAATGTAGCACCTCCTTAGACAGACGCATTGTAAGTCTGCTTAGACACACTGTTTATGTGTCCGAGATCAGCTTTCATTTAAGATGAAACTAAAAAAAACACATTTGTTAGACAATGTTTAATTTAGTTTAATTAAGACAGCTTCTTTTTAAAATATGCATCATGTTTTCTGTTATAAATAAATAATATACATTAATACATTTACATTTAATTATTTAGCAGATGCTTTTATCCAAAGCGACTTACAAATGATGACAGTAGAAGCAATCAAACTAACAAAAGAGCAACATTACGTAAGTAAATAAAACAGTCAGTAAAGCTAGCCGGGATGTGTTCTGCACATCAACACTCTGGTCAAAATACTGTTTAAACAAAACGCTTTCCTTCATTCCATGTCAAGAGTTATTTGCTTTATATTCAAGCTGAACAAAACAGGCTTCAATGAAAATCGTGATGTTTGATTAGACCGATATAAAAATGTACTTTAAATGAATGGTGTGGTTGTGTAACTTTTTTCAGTTCCCCATAACAGAAACTGTCCTCAAAGTCAGCAGAAGCTAAGAGCTGACAGGAGACGTCCTCATGATAGCGGGCCTTTAATACTGTTCACTGGACATTTTACTGCTCTTAAAATCTGTCATTTGGTTTGATTAGATTTCTTATATACAAAAATGGAGTTGTAAACAAAACATTTCACCGTGCAACACTACTTACAACAAATACAACTTTGACATCTCCATCTGAACTCATTATTTGATGAGACAAACATGATTTTTCTATTGCTGTCAAACACACGGTTTCCACAGTTCTAAGACATCACAGCTCAGTCTATCAGCCACACAGTGGATTACAGTGATTCCTGCTGCTTACAAGAAACTAACGAACGACTTCACATTCCAGGCTGGATTAGAGAAAAGCCCCTGTTCATCTACAGTCAGCTGATGCTCATTAAATCTGCTCGCGGCTGCACACTGTGGGACGCTTTAGGACCGCAGAATATAGCTTGAAAATCAAAACTACAAGAGTGTTACGCATGCCATGCGTAGAGCCTCGAGCACTCAAACAAAACTGAGAGTCACTTACTGCTGCTCCTGGCGGCCCGTCCTTGCCAGCTGGACCGTCCGGACCGGTCAAACCCTGCAGAACAGCACATTTTCAGGACCAGGAGACAACTATGTGTAGTGCTTACATGATGTCCTTGCTTTATAGAGAAAACAGAAGACAAGAGTTTGTGTGTGGCACTGAAAAAGCTGTGACTTACATCCACACCGGGGAGGCCAGGCAGTCCCAGGCTCCCTGCGGCCCCAGGTTTACCTGCTTTAGCTCTCGGCCCCTGCAATCAGAAGAGAATTCAAAACATTGTGCCTTATGCAATACCATTCTGTGTTTACATGCTATTTATTGCATCTAACAGAGCAACCAGAAAAAAGCAGTAGCAGCGGGATGGGGTTAAAACATGACACTCGACTGGTCTGTGTTCCCCTGCTCTACTGCATCATTTACACAACATCTAGATAGAGAAGCACTGTCAGAAACATCATCAGAGATATGAGGTGAGCAGCCATTTCTACATCGTTAGCATTGTGATGCACGTTAAATGCAAAAGCAAAGTACACTTGCAAAACCAGTGCTTTAAAGTATTAGACGTGAGCACATGCAGATACTCACGGGCTTTCCAGGAAGTCCAGCAGGGCCAGGTTTACCCTGCACAGATAACAATCCCTTAACGTTAGACTTACAGCAGCCCACAGTGATCATGTGTTTCTGTGCGTTATAAAAGCTTGTGCTGTTCTGAGCTGAATAGCGCTGGGGCTGGAGGGGGCTGGGAAACTCTAGACGCTTGTGTTTGATTTGAGGCTGAATGAATGGGCTTTCTGTCGCTGCACCTCCGCCGCTCGCGCTGAGCAGATTTGAGTTTACTGAGGAAACATTCACTGCTTTCAACGTTTGCCTGCGTAAATTCCTGAGAGTTTTCCCTTTACCATTAACAAAACATTACTGCTCACACATGCAACATAATGAAGGTCATTTGCATGAACGTTTTAGATTATTGATGAGAGATTTTTTTTTAATTCACAGAATGAAAATCTTTTCAGTAATTTTTCTGAATTTTGAAAATATCTTTTTCTCCGTCTTTTGTTTCTCACCTAATGTGTAACAAACACACATAGATAAATGAAACAGAATATAAAAACATATGTGTATTTATAATAGATTAACACATGAAGCTGGAACTCACGTCGATGCCGTCTTTCCCTGGGGGTCCCGGCGGCCCTGGCACTCCAGGTGCACCCTGAGGACCCGGCCTTTGCTATAGACACAAACAACACGAAATCACCAATGAGAATAATACAAAAAAGAAATCAATGTAAATAACAGAAATCCCTCAGGTGTCAGTTGTCAGCTCAAATGTCAGGTTTATGAGTGAAGCTAGAATCGACTCTGTTCATAAATGAAAATGAACTAGTCACAATGTGATTTGCATTGAAATGCTATATATTCACACAGAAAAAGACCAACGTGAAGAACACAACAAATGGCAAACACTGCAAAGATCTCACAAAGATGCCATTGTGCGACATATCACATTACACTGTGAAAAACACATGTTCTGTAAGGTAACCTGATATTTTTTTTTAATCTATTGTAACATCAATATAAACAGATTTATTAATCTAAAAAAATAAAATAATAATAATAAAAAAATTTATAATCTGACGTGCACTTGAAGTTACACCAGCAAAAGTCATTTTAAGGGTCAGCTAGAAACAGCTGCACGATTTTACTTTTACAATATACACATTACAGTCAGTCCACAAAGCGCTTATAAACGAAAATAACACGAATACAGTTCATCTACTGCCGTGGATTTAACAAAGTGATGTGATCTGATATGGTTTCCAGCCGCGCATCAGGTTGCAGTTCTCAGCCCAGACACAAGCAGGTTATTATCGATGCACTGTCTTACCTGAGCAAGAGCCGAGCTTAGCAGCTGGAAGAGGAAGAGTAAATGAAACGCAGAGAACACGGCCATGGCTCCTGTGCCCTGTGCTGGACGCTCTCAGTATGAATGCAGATAAAGAGCAGGAGTCCGGCGGAGGGGGCGGTCACCATCACTCCCAGACCAGTCGAGAGATGCCCCCACACACACACACACTCACACACACACACACACACACACTCACACTCACACACACACACACACACACACTCACACACCCACACACCCACACACACACACACACACAACACACACACACACACACAATCAATCAAATACAGGCTCTTGTCATGTTCTGTCAGTACTGGCAAGTAAAACGCACAAGCTGATAGTCGATATGAGCAAAACATGTACTAGAAAGTAATGCTGGTGATTATAAGTTCTCATGAGACGTTTTTTACAGCATATAGTACTGATTCTTATTTTTCATTGAAGACTGGACGCATGCAATTGATCTGCCTCTTGAAAATTAAAGAGAAAATAAAATGTTGAAATTTTAACTTACATTGCACCAGTTGTTTTCACCCTACAAAATACAAATATCTTTCGATTTATTGGTATTTATAAAACGGTTAGTTCCATTCCTCGATTCTGATTGGTCAGCAGCTGTGTTTTATTCACGATACAGCACAGCTATGACCATAGACATAATACATACCTAGACGCCTCATTGGCCGCTTTGAGCCGTTGCTGCGATACGTCAACGCGTCCGCCATGTTTGTGAAGGCAAGACTGCCTTAAAAATAAATGGAGGTAAACGGAGGAGCTGCGGTTTTTTTCTGGATAAAAACACACGATAACGATAAAAAAACAAAAAAATACACACGATAACGTTTACATTTATCAACCGATTTCAGAGGTTTGTGATCTACATGGAGTTAAAAATAACTCTGCTTCCAGTTATTTAGTTAGGTTTAGAAAATTATTAATTTTCGTAAGAAATTGTGAAAACTCACACTTGTCTCACTTGTTGATTTGATTGATTTTTTCGGTTTACAATTTTAATGTTAATGTAGTATAACTGTGACATATACATGTTTTGTAATTTTAAGGTACATTAAATGAAATTAAGTTGTTTCATTGCTTCAACCCCAACATTTTAGCTTTTCTTGTGCTTCAGGTCAGCTCATTCCCTTTGAAATACTGGAAGAAAATCAAAATAATACATCTTTAAGCACTAATAATTTTCCATCATTGAGAACATTGAATAAAACCAGCGAATACAAATCAAAAAGTGACACTCTGGTAGTCTGCTTTTTATTTTGATAGCACTCTA